ATTCACAGGCAAATTGTAACCCCTGTCAGGAGAGCTTTCCCTAAAGATTGCATTTAAATTTAAACATTTTTCCCCTTTAATGCATGGGCTTATTATCACATGATAAACATAATAGTATTAGCTGTCTGTGTGATTAAATGTTTGTTTGGAAGCCCTGGAAAAAAAATCTTTAATGGTACTAAATACCACACAGGAAGTTACAGAAGAAAGAGAGTTATGTAGCCATTCAAAAGAGTGTTATATAGCAATTCAGTTCATGATTTGCACAATGAAAGGATAATTAAATGAAATCTGAAGTACAAAGAGGCTTCTGCCTTAATCAATTCAGTGTGTCAGATTTTCCTGGTGTTTATTGGAAGTAAGAATTGGGAAAAATTTTGACTGTTTCCATTTTTAAAAAGTGATGTCAAAGAGAAAAATACGACACTTCATTAAGACTATGATTGTCCCTACTAATAATCCTCTCTTAAGGCAAATTGCATTACAGCCCTCGGTTATATAGAACCTATGAGATTAAAGTGCATTCTAAGGAGCTTATTCCTAGTTTCCATGGTACAGAGACAATTTTATTATATTAGAAAATCATATCTATTTAAGCTATGCCTCCTCAGTTCATCCCTTTCAACTCCTCACTTTCCCCTCTAGAAACAAAAGATGTTAACCTTTCCTCTTTTTTTGCTACCTACATAGGTATACAGGACATAAAGGTCACACAAATATCCAGTGATGATGTGTTTACCAGCTAGTTCTGGGAATAAAATGCATTGCGTGTATGGATCACTTTCAACAGAAATTCAAGATCTGTAATAATGTGGAGTTAAATCTTCTTTTTTATGTTGTTGTCCTAGCTGCTAATACCCCCTAGCAAAATCATCCAAAATAATCCTTTAACCATAAGGCACTTTACTATCCTAGACAAACAATGCAGGCAGTAAACATATAGAGCTATCTCCAATACTAGTAGCTGAACAGCACAAATACCAATATTTCTTAACACAATATTTCTTAATTTCATTACCTCCAGGTATCCAGCAAAGCTAATCCCTTATAACCTTTGAATTCTGAGCATGATCCAGAACTGCTGGACTGATCAAGCAATGAGACCTATAAAAACAAAATGCAAGGTGTTCTTATTTAAGATATTCAACACATTTTCTGCTGTTCAGATGATCATAAGAAAGTAAGGTTGGAAGGGATCTCACACAGTCATCTAGTCCAGCCCCCTGCTCAAGGCAGGACCATCCCTAAATAAACCATCCCAGCCAAGTGTCTATCCAACCTGCATTTAAAAGTGTCCAAGGATGGAGAGTCTACAACTTCTCAAGGTAGCCTGTTCCAATGCTTAACCACCCTCATAGTCAGAAATTTCCCCCCAATCTCCAACCTAAATTTCTCCTGCTGCAACTTGAAGCTATTGCTTCTAGTCCTGTCCCCTGTGGCCACAGAGGAAAGCCCATCTCCATCTTCTCTATAATTACCCTTCAGGTATTTGAAAACTGTTATTAAATCCCCTTTTTAGTCTTCTCTTCTCCAGGTGAAATAACACTAGTTCTTTAACCCTATCCTCATAAGTCTTGTCTTCCAGGCCCTTCATAATTTTTGCTGCTTTGCACTGGGCTCTTTCCAAACTGTCCATGTCTCATATTGTACTCCCTAAGTTGGTGGAATTCCCATTCATCTCCAACAACTAGACTTGCAACCAGTAAGTAAGGCGGGGTGGGGAAATTGCTCCTCCTGGACTCATCAACACCTGGAGTTCTTTTCCTTTAGGACCAGTATGTCCCAGATCCTACCATTCTCTGCTGCTGTGAGTCAGCAATAAGCCCGAAGCTCCTTCCAGGACTGTGTCACCTAATAACATGATGGGACAATAGGAGAACCCTACCAACAGGAGAACTTGTATATAGAAACTGCAAGCTAACTCTCAAGGAGACCTTGACTCATAGAGTCTTGAAGATACATTACCTAGAATGGTTGGAGTGTCATTACCTAAAATACATGGTATTTGTTATATAGATCCCCTGGGGAATTTAAGATTATGTTTTGTATGTTGTACTTGATGTCAATTAGCTCAGAAGCATTGGGCAAGCTCAATTGTTGCAATAACAAATCAGCCAAAGAGGTAAAAATAAACTTAATAAAATTCATGTAAAATACCTGCTGGATACTTCACCTTACACTGGATCAAACAACTTTAGCTGGAAGTAGAGAAAACTGCATGAGGTGGAATCCAATCTTCTCTTAAGGCCAGTAATAAGAAGAGAAACCAGAAACATGTAAAAAAAGATAGAGAAACACTATTATATAGAGTGTTGCCAACCTTCACAGGTTTAAAGCCTCAGCTCCTGGGGTCAACTGATTAGATGAGAATCTACTTTTTTTTTATGTGGGCTACTAACTTTCACAATTGCAAAAAAACCCTTGAAAACATGACTCAGATGTGTTCTTCAGGCTCAAAAATCAGAAAACAATGAAAAATTAATATACATTTAACTAAAAATATGATGAGATTTTTAACAAAATATGGAAGTCCTGATTTTTTTTAAGTCTGATTCATGATTTTTGGATATTTGGGGCTATTAACACTGTATGTGTTGAATTAACAATTAGTGGTTCCACAACAGGAAACAACATTATAACAATATAGTTGTTTGCAAGGATAATGAGACCCCCTCCATAACAGGATATTCTACTGGTTACCAATATGCTTCCTTTACCCATCAAAATTATTCTGACATCACAAAGTGGAAGGATACAAGACTAAATACAGCAGTTATGGGGGACATAGATTTTTAGAGACATGCTAGAAGTATAAGACAAACATTTTCAAACAAGGTAATGTACTGGACAACGCTGCAGGAGACGTTGCAATGCTTGCATACTGTAGGCTGCAAACTCCTGCAGTGATGAAATGTGTCACGAGCAAAGGTAGCCAAATGTGTACATGCTCTACTGATACTATACTATTGGAAACTATGTACCAGCAAGTTAAATGAGTAAAATTTACTGGTGTAAACATGGCCTAGGGTAAGGCACTTGAACCCATATTTATATATATAGACTAATTCAGAGGTGCTGAACACCCATACTTCCCACTGGGACAAGAACAGAGCTATTAGCTGTATCATTCTGTTGCTAATGTTGTATTTTCAAGTGTTTTCAGCTCAGACATGTATGACTTTCAGGGGTGTCTTTCTTTCTTCTCATCCAGTTTCTCAGCTGGGTTGACTAAGGAACAAGAAGATCAAATGACATACACAGAGGTCAAGCAGTGAGTCAGCTTCTCAGCCCAGTGACTACAGTAAAATGCCTATTTGTAAACTATAATTTTTAGTGTGGTAGAACATAACTTTAAAAATGAATATATGGGAAAATACACCCACATATGACAAACATGCTCACACTCTATCAGCTTTGGGTGGACGTTCTGTTAGTCAGAGAGGAGCATCTGTGCAATTCTTCTTGTTGTTGTTGTTCTTTGCTTCTCTAGACATTTCATCAAATGGTCACTGAGTCAGAATAAGTGGGTTTCTCTATTAAAGTCTGTGTGGAGGCTGCATTCCAAAGCAGTTGGAGGAATTGAAGATAAATATCCCTCCCCAGAAAATCAAACCTCTTTCCTTAAAACTAAATACAACATTTATGAAGACAGCTCCTAACTGAAGACTTGGTCTGATGCTCATTTTGGGCTGAAAAGCAGATTGGGGAGGGTTTTCATTCTGGGGCAACAGGGTATGATTTAATTCATCATGGTCTCAGTTGTACAACGTATGCATCTACTGTTTAAGAAAATATCAATGTATAAGTAAACTGATTCTTACACCAAGGAAATGTTAAGCAGACAGCTTAACCTCCAGCCAGAAGACAACATATTAAAACTCTGTCGAGCAAGAACCATCTCTTTGTTCTATGTTTATGCAGGACCCACCATGATGGGCTTATGGTCTATGGCTGAGGCTCCCAGAAGTTGGGGATGTATCCAGGACACTGTTTTGATGAGGTCAGTTCATAACAGTGCTTTGGCAGTTAATGATGTAGAGCAGTGGTGCTCAACCTCTGCCCTGCAGGCCATGTCTGTCCCACATGGCCATCCTCCCACCAGTCTGGAAACTTAGCAGTGGGGAAACAGTGGTAATATTAATTGCTGGTCTCCTAGTGACAGACCTGCAGGAAGCCCTGTGGACTGGATAACGTGGCCCTGTGTGATACATCATGCCAGTATGCAGTAGGGCCAGCACACAGAGCCACTTTGTAGCCAGATCTGGTGCACAGGATCAAGCCAGTGTGTATCTAGATCCAGTGAATGTGGCCAAATCTGGCATGTAGGGTGGGCCCAGTGTGCAGACAATCTGGCATATGGACCCTGGCCAGCATGCAGAGCTGTGCTAGCATTCTGGATTGCACCTGCAGACTGACACTGCACATAGCCCATGTGCTAGATCAGGCCCATGGACCACTCCCACATCTCTCACGGCCATAAGGTTGAGCACCATTTTCATGGTCTAACAATCTGGCCCCTGCTCTTCTTCCTTCTTCTCATGTGTCAAGCGTGGGAAAGGAATGTTTTAAGGAACCAACAAGAAGGCTCCTAAGGAGTTATGGCATGAAAGACTGGAATGATCTATATAGGTATTTATACTGCACTTATCTCCATAGTGCCCAGGTGGCTTGGGTAGCTTTTGAGGTGTACATGGGCTCATCTAGCCTGTCACCATTTTCACCCCACTAACTGGCAGCCCCATGAAGGAACCAGAGTTGGCTTGGGTTACATACAATCTTCAAAATAAAGCACTCTTTCTGTAAAAGAAAGCGAATGTGGGCCCTGGATGCAGGAATAGCACCAATAGTCAAGGCCACACGATTTTTTAAATATATATATACACACACACACACACACACGCACGCACGCACAAAACTGTGTTAACTTTGAGACGTATATATATGTTTGCAAAGATTTTATGTTTTAAAATTTCCAATCTAAACCCTGAGGAGTCACTAGCCAGTTTACATTGGCAATGCATAGGGGGTGCACCCCCCCCCCCAA